AAAAAAAAAAAAAACCCTGATTCCCTTTTCCAGAATATCACCCCGTTTTCCAAGATCTATGTATTTGAGAGGCTGAATTGAAAATTGTTTATTCTCTCAGTTCATTCCAAATGTTTGAGTTCCCATTATCTGCCATGCATTTTGTTTAGCTCTTGTGGTATCAGCAGTGAACAGGGCTGATCCTATTGCCTGCCCTTAGGGAGTTTGCAGTCCAAGGGTGAAGAAGGTGTTCAGCAATGAAGCACATCAATAATGTCTGTGCACAAATTGTGATAAGTCCTTTGAAGGAAAAGAACATGTCCCAGTGAGAGAGAATCAGGGAGCTGCATTTGGATGGAGGAAGGGATCTTGGAAAGTTGGTTTCAGGACATAAGCTTTAAGCTGGGGCTATAGCATGAGTTGGATGTTAGCTCCTTGTGGTGAAGCATGCTCACCGGGGTCAGGGTGCAGGTCAGCAGAGCATCTGAGGTGTAATGCATTGAGTCTTGCAGAGCCTGCCTTGTCTCTGGCCCCTGAGATCATCTTCTGGGTGATAACAATTTCTATATCCATTTGGCTTAATCCTCCCCCTCCCTTTTTTAGTGGAAGTGTATTTTATGCGTGCTGGAATGCACAGCTACTCTGTTTTATTACTGGTCTTTCCTGTCCAGAGTAAAATGGGCAGTGCAGTGGTTATATGCTGGGTCCAGTGAGAGTCCAGAGAGCTGAATGAGTTTTGTCCAGTAACAGTAAGTGCAAAATAATTTTAGTATCAGATGATTAGAGGGGAGGTCATAGAGCTATCTGATTAGAACCCGTTTTCTTCTCTTTTCATCATTATTTAATAACTTTTTCCCTGTAGAGTATAAAGTATTTACAAATTTGGATAATTAGAAGACATTCTGCTCTAGATTGTTATTGCCTGCTTAGGTAATAAGGCAATAATAGCAATAAGGTAATAATAGTAGTAAGGTAATAAGTAATAATAACTAAGGTATAAATAAGTAAAATGTAATGAGGTAATAATTGGTAGTAAAGTAATAAGGTGATGTTTTTTGGTCTAACCCGGTGTCTGACTCTCTCTAAATTAGCTTAAATGAGTATTTTAAGATAGAGAAGCAGCAGCCCAGCCAGAGGACTTGGGAGAAAATGGCTTCATCACTGCTCTGTAAAGTACTTTGTGGGGAGGGAAAGTGAAGATATGAACTCAGACAACTGGTGGAAATAGGGGCGAGGTGGGACTGGAGTAGCAAGGGTGACCTGGATCCCAGCTCAGCCTGGGCACTGGTTCACAGAGGGTTCTTGCCCTGGTGCTTTCCCCCTGCAGGGTGTCTGTTTCCTCATCTATAAAGTGAGGGCCTGGCTCTGTGGCCTCTGGCCAGGGAAGGCATTCATGCTGCCTATCTCCTGCCAGAGCTTCTCCAGTACTCCCACTGACACTCTGTCTCACAGATCCAGTTTTCTCATCTGCAGAGCAGGAATCACAACAGTCAGTGAGTTATAGACTGCCTGTGTTCAAATTCTACCTTTGCCATTTTCTGTCTGTGTGGCCCTAGCAAGGTGCTTAACCTCTCTGTGCTTCAGTGTTTTTATCTCTAATATGGGCATAGTTATAGTGTAAGGATTAAATGTATTGATATAGGTAAAGCACTTAGAACAGTGCCTGACACATGGTAAACAATAAATGTTGGCCATTGTTACCTAAAATGTGGAGGTGCTCATGGAGTCACATAAGTGTAGAAGGATTTGCCTGATTTCTCCTCTGCCTTAGGGCTGATGAGGACTGAAAGGGAAGAGTCAGAGAGGGTGTAGGCACCATGATAAGGCATGGGAGGTACGGATTAACCTGATCTGGCCTGGAAGTGGCTGGGAATTGTCCCAAGCAGAGGATAGTTTGGGATACCTCCTGCTCTGGGTGTGCCTGGAATGCTTGGCAAGGACAGAGGCCAAGGTCAGCTGCCAGCTGCTGCTCTGAGGCAAAGGCCCTTTAAAGGAGCTGCTAAATAGTTAGGTGGAGGGGAAGCATGCTGTAGAAGGCACCGGGGAAGGGGCTGGTTCCTCTCCTTCTTTGTGGCTGGTTTTGTAGAGTCTCATCTTACTCTTTTATTTGATCAGTCATTCAAAACATATCTTCTGAGCTCCTGCCCTGAGGGCAAAGAGGGTGCTATGACAGGCTGCTTCCCAAGGAGCAGCTGGGCTGTAGGTGGAAACAGATGGCTGAACATGTGGGTGTCCTCCAGCATGGCGGGGTGGGGGTCAGGGTAGGCTGCCCTGATGAGGGCCGTCAGGTCACACCTAACTGAGAAAATACCAAATATTTGGGCCGAATCTTGAAGGAAGCCTGAGTGTCCAGACCTACCTGTGACCCACTGGCCTGTGACCCTCAGGGCCTGCTGTCTTCATCTATAAGTGTGGAATGGGGCGGGGGGCAGTATGTGCAGGGCTCCATGGAGAGGCATCACATGGGACTATAGGGGAACTGTCATTTGGAATCAGTGCAATATGTGGTAAAACTATTCCTTTTTCTTTTCTTCCTCACTCTAAAATGTGGTAAGGTCAGGGATGACCTTGAGGAAAAACAAATCAAGAAAGGTTGAGGAGAGAGTCTGGATCAAAATGTAGATTCCTCATCATGCTCTTACATTTCTGCTGAGGCAGCTGCTTACCCATTGTCTACAAAGACATAATTTGTTGAGGATTTGTGCACTGAGGAGATGAGCATGGAGTCCCAGGGGCTCTTGCTGTGTCAGAGATTTGGGTCTTGGTTTAATGACCATGGGAGCCACACTTGGTCTCTCCAAGAAATTTGTAGCTTGGAAGAGACATTGAATTGTCTTCCTGGGGCAGAGGTCACAACAATCCTAACTGATGCTTATTAATATTCATTATAAGCCAGGTAGATGAAAGTCACAACTAGTATGACCCATCTTATACAGTTGAAGAAGCTGATGCACAGAGAGGGAAGTGACCTGCTACAGTCACAGAAGGAATAAGTGGTACAGTGGGGAGCTGAACCTGGCTCTCTCCTACTATGTTCTGCAGCTGTTCACATCTTTGCTAAATGAATGAACCTTGGCTTCTGCTCATAATGATTAATCATAATAAAAGCTGATAACTGAGCACTGTCTTTGTACCAAGCACTATGTTCACTGTTTAAATGAATTGCCTCATTTGATCCTCACAAGCATTTAAAGCTTACATTAAAAGCTTTAAATGTAAAAGTAGGTACATTAAAAGTACCGTTATTATCTTTACTCTCCTGTTGATGAGACAGAGAGGTTAAGTAATTTGTCCTCAGTTACATGGTTGGTAAGTGGAGAAGGCAAAATTCCAAGTGACCCTTGTAATGTCAGTGCTGTTCTGTTCACTATCCTGTTCATCTGTGCACCCCTCCTCTCTTCCATTCTCTCTCCTTTCTCTCAACAGGTTTCAATTTAGCATGTTTTTGTGCCAGCCCATTCCATGGCTGGCCTAGAGACTCTGGTGGCCCTGTCACCTCCCCCTGTGCCTGGCCCCTGCCTCCCTGTAGTTACAGCAGTAGGTGCTTTCTGAGGCAGGGCATTTCCTTTTGTTTTTGCTAAAGGAAACAAACTCTGTGACGGGATATCCTCTGCTGTGTTTTCATGTTATCCGAGGGAGAGAAAAAACAAAACTGGGCCTGCACGTGAAAAATGGAGGGTTGAGCATTTGCAGGCTGAAGGGGAACCCAAAGGCTCTTTGCTGAGGGCGACTTGAGTGCCCGTCCTCCCATACATAATGCAGAGGCAGCAATAGGCGAGCAAGGAACATTTTGACTTGGGGTACTCCTCCATCTTTATGGTGGTTCCAGCTTCCTTTCCTTAGGAAGAGGGAGTACTGACTAGTGATGCCACCAGGGCAGTCTCACTCCAAGCTGAGTGCCTGAGCTGGTCTCATGTTCATGACCTTGTTCCTGCTGTCACTCGAGGAAGAAGTATTTGACAAGAGAAGAGGAAATCCTCTGGAAGCCTCCTGATGTCAGAGCAGGGAACTCAAGAGTCACCTCATGGATATTTTGCTAGGCGGCGATTTGCCTTGCGTTTGTGCCCAGACCCCAGGGCTCTGTCTAATTGGGCCCCACTGTACCCCTGAGATGCAGTGGTGTACCTCCTGGCCTCCGAATCATCCCCCTCAGCATTCTGACTTTCTTGACTTTTTTTCATGCCCTCTTGTATGAAGTGAAGAAAGAAAAGGGCCTTTGACTCACCGCTGATCTCAGTGAAAGATCAAAGAGAGGGAATTGAGCAATCAGAGAAGCCACAAGCCCTGTTCATTTTAGGAAGCCTGTTCAGGAATGCTTTTGGAGGGAGTGGACCCAACATGATGGGTGTTGTGGAGAGGT